CGTATGTCGGAATTGTGTCTTGGACGACTCTTGAAGCCGAAACAATCTCCCAGGGCGCCGAAAAGAGGCCCCAGATCCCCGGGGCAAAAGTGGGTACCCATGGGGGGGAACTTTGCGAAAGGGGGCCTCCCCCTGGGCACGGCGACCCGGCTAGCTAGGCTGGATGGTCGAACTCTTGGGGATCTCTATTTCATGACACTTCTTCTCCGGGGCTTCCAAGAACCACGAAGACGGCCCAAGTGGCTTCCAATACTTCCTACGGTCCACCTGCGACGGCTTACGACACTTCGGGGGCCTTTTTATTCGCCACGGCTGGACGTAGCCGGAGGAACAGGGAGGAGAAGGGGAGGTGGAGGGGTTCCCTTGGGGAGAAGGAGAAGGAGGATGAGGAGGAGTTGGAGAGGGTGGAGGTGGCCGCAGAAGAGGAACCAGAGGAGGAAAAGGAGGAGGAGGATTTTTTGTTTTGCAAGCGTAGCGAAGCTGCCAGGCGAACTAAAAAACAAATGTTGGAGGGAATCCCCGTTTTTATCGAGTCCTGGGGCGAAGATCTCGGGTTCTCGGTTCACGTTCCCGATCCTGGGCCGCGGTGGGGGCCGTCTCGGGCTGTCTTGGACGTCTCTTCGGCGCTTTTGAAGCCAATTAGGCCGTCTTGGCGCGCTTTTGAAGCCTATTGGGCCGTCTTGGGGCGATCCTCGGAGCCTCTTGGGGCGTTTTGCAGCATCGGGAAGCGGAACAAGCGGAAACGCCAAACTTGTTCAAACATCTATGGAAGAACATGTTGTTTGGCCACTTCGAGCTCTGTTGGGAGACCTCTTGGAAGTCTCTTGGGTATCTTGCGGCTTCTTGGGCCGTCTGGAGGCCGTCTTGGATCGAAGTTGCCTACGGCGAATCACCGCCGCCACCTGCCTTTATGGAAGCGCCTATGTGGCCGAACGTTGTGGCCAGACCTGCCAAGCTATCGGACCATGTGTTCCCCGAATCGGTTTGGAAAGCCTTCGGGAAACACGTGGGCATCTTGAAGGTCATTTTGGCCTTATGGAGGCCATTTTGACCCTTTCGGGCCTTCTTGGAGGACATCTTGGAGGGCTCTTGGGCCGTCTTGGAGTCCATCTTGAGCGTCTTGGAGGCCTCTTGGGCCGTCTTGGGGGCCTCTTGGGGCCGTCTTGGGCCTCTTGGGCGATCTTTGGGGACAATTGGGCCGTCTCGGGCCGTCGGAAGGCAGAACAAAAAGCAAATGCCACAATCCTTCAAAAACTCATGGGAAGTAAATGATTTTGGCATTTTCGGGCTCTCTTGGGCTGTCCTGAGGACGTCCTGGAGCCACTTTAGGCAGTCCTAGGAGCGTCCTGGCGCCTCTGGGGGTGGGTGACCACAGCCACTGGGCAAAGTGGGGCCCTTCCCGGTCCAGGACCCCCTCGCGCGCTTAGGTTCAAGTCACACTTGTGACACGCTTTATTGCTCTCGTTGTCGCTCGTCTGATCAGCGTCACTGCGATGTCCGCCGAACGCGGGCGTTGCAGAGCCTCCATCCGCTTCCGTTCCCCTACGAACGTAGCGAGGGACCGTAGCGTGTTCCGGAAGAGCGCTTCCAGAACACGGGGGGACCTTCAGACGAGGGCTTCTGACGCACCGATTGGGGAGCTCAAGGGGAGCTCAGAGGCACCCACTGAGGAGGGAGGGGCCTGTCATAGGAACGGCTGGAGAGGCCCCTGGGTACATCGTGGGGAGTGTTGTGGCCCGTGTGCGCTGGCTTGGAGCGTCGGCCTCATGTAAACGTAGAGACGCTGCAGTTGTCGTCGGCAAGTTTGGGTTCCCAAGCCTGGGTGGAGCGTCTGAGGCCACTTTGGGGCACGTCGGGGTTCTTTTGGGACGCCTGTCGGGGGTTGCGAACGCTTGTCTGGAGGGGTGCGGGCAACCTCCTGGACTCCCATGGTGTATTCCACAGGCTCTCACCTTTCTGGGCGCTTCCGTATCTTAATCCCTTCACCCTCCAGGTTTCGCTCCTGGACTTCGGACACTTCGGACAATACGATCCCCCTCCTCCTCCTCCTCCTTTTCATTATCCTTCTCTTTCCTCGTCTTCCTCCCTCGTCGCTCCTGCTGCATCTCTCATCTCTCCTCTCCTCCCTCTTTCTTGTAATTCTCTTCCTCCGTTCCCTCCTATTTCCCCCCTCTTCCTCCCGTTCCTCCTCCCCCTCTCCCATCCTTCTCCTACTCCTCCTCCGCCTCCTCCTCCTCGCACTTATCCTCCTCCTCCTTCCCTCCTTCCCCCAAACAAGCAACATCCTTCAACACTTTAGCCACATCATCGCGTGTTGTTGTCTCCCATTTTCGCTGCCACTGGTTAACATAAACACCCGTCTTTGTCAACGCTGTTTGCTGAACGTGTCCGAGCCTTCGTGGGGCCTCTCGGAGGCATGTTGGTGTCAATTAGCAGCCTCTTGGGGGCCTCCGTGGGGCCTCGAGGCGCCTTGGGGGCATCTTGGGGAACTTGTGGGAGCTCTTGGCGGCTTCTCGGGGCCTCCTGGGACATTTGGGGATCCTCTTGGGGCCTCTTGGGGTGCGTCTTGGAAGTCTGTCGGGGCTTCTTGGGGGCGTCCCTGGCGCTTCTAATGCCAGTCTTGCTGCTCTCATAAACTATTGTGGACCCATCGTCGGCCGTTTTGTACCCGTCTTGAGGCCGATCAAGAGCAAACAACAAGAAAGCAACATTCCTATATTTCCTTCACGAGCTTGGTTTGTCAGGGCGTCCTGGAGGGCAACATTGGAGCTCTCTTGGGGCCTGTTTGGGACGCCGTGGGCCGGCTTGAGACCATCATGGGCGGTCTCTGGGCCTTCTCTGGCTGTCGTGGACGCATATCACGCTCCAGGGCCGCCCTGGAGCCCTCTTGGACAGTCGGCGGGGGAGGCCTTGGATGCATCTGGGCCCGCATCGGACTCCCTGGAGCATCCATAAGCACGCGAGCGCTCGAATATGCGAATGCCCACGCGCGCGCACACACACATGCGCAATTCCACGTGCAACCGCTTTTTCTAATAGTTAATGCCATCAGTCGGGCCGAAGCAAGGCAGGCACAAGGAAGCAAGCTAAACTCCGCCACCGTGCCTTGCGGCACGGAGTGGGCGTTTCCTAAGGTCCCCTGCCTCATCCCCTGAGCCTCAGTCCTCATTCTTGAGGAGTCTTTAAGGGGACCAGTGCCAAATCTTCTTGGCCTTGCCGCCGTACTCCTGGGGCTCGTCGCAGCTTCTTCCATGGATTTGGGAGGGCCTTTTTCTGGCACCCCTCACGAGGATCGTGGCCTCCGAGGGGGTCCTGAACTCGAGGACCCCCCCGAGGAGCCACATCCAGGGCCTTGAGCGCCGCATAGCGAGCTCTGGCTTCAGACTGTCCATAGCGCACGCTTGCTGTAAAACTTTGTGTGCAACGGCGCTCTTGCTCCAGACAGGCATGTCGACACAAACAGTCAACGCCAGAACGCTTACCCTCTGGCAACTGCCAAGGAGATGAAGCTTCCATCGACGCGCATCTGGTCAAAGTCGGACACCACGACTAAGAAATGTAACACTAGATGACGATAGGGACCGCTATCGCCAACCCCATGGCTACCGCTCCGAAAATGTAACTTCGGACCCTCGCAGGAGTGGGATGGCACACGGGATTAAGAAATCGGCTTCTACATTAAATCGGAGCAGATGCCGTCGGTGAGAGTACGTCTGGCTGACTGGTTAAGCCACACACTGGGCGTCGGTCAGAGGACGTCAACTCAGAAAATCTGTCGGCTGCCGACACCTAAAACGCTGTGGGCAACTGCTTGAGAAAATTCAACTGTCCTGATCAAATAATTACTCCGCACGAATGTAATGCCAGACGGCAGCTGTACAGTATGATTACACGCGCGCAATCATGGGCCCTGCGCCTCAGGTGAAACCCCGACCGTGGTGCCAATGGCCTGCTGCTCCTTTCAGGGACCCTGCTCCTTCGTGGGCATGTTGAACATCGGCGAGCTGCCTAACCTGCCGAAGGCGAAAAAGTAGCCACCGGCCACGCAGATGGAACCTGCAAAGATGTTCCCGAGGGTCACCGGGATGAAATTCCTCCAGAGGCAATCTAGCATGGACACGTCGGCGCCGGCCATCATCCCCATGGGGATCATGAACATGTTGGCTGGGATATGCTCGAAGCCGATGGCCACGAAGCAAGAGATGGGGAACCAGATGCCCACCATCTTGCCAACCATGTACTGTGCTTGGCCCTGCAGGAACACAACCATGCACACCAGCCAGTTGCAGCTGATTCCATTGAGGAAGGTGACCCCAAAGTTCTCCTTGACCTTCTTCTCCGCCACCTTGATCGCAAGCTCACTAGTCAGGCCCACGTTCAAGTTACAGGCCGTGACAAAGCCGGCGAAGGGCAAGGCGCCGAGCAGATGATTGCCTAGCCAAGCCAGCGCAAGCGTCCTCGCGATCTGCAAAAAGGGGCAACCTGCCTTCAAACACCGCGGCGGTCACGGTCGCCGGAGTGCTCGTGATCAGCACCCCACCTGTGAGGAGGATGAGCAGCAGGTTCACAGGGAAGAGCGCAGCGAGCACAAAGGTCTGAATGGTCGGGTTGCCCTCGGCTGCGCTTTTCAGACCGCCAGCCACCACCATCGACAGACAGCATGCCACCGAAGCCAATGCAGCAACCCGCATAGAAGGATTGGTGGAATATCTTGATGGAGGAGTCGCCGCCCATCGCCACGCCCTTGTCCACCATGCCCTGGAACGCCTCCTTGGGAGTTTTAACGATTGGCATGACCTCCGGCATGTTGGCGCACTCTGCTGCGCACAGAAGGCGCCTCCAGTGGCAAGATGCAGAACAAGAGATGCGATCGACAGCACAATCTTGATACGAGACAACTAACACGACGAACATTAGGGTACCCTCCCCGCACCGACCTCGTTCTTACACCTCGGTCCGGCTGTGGTCTCGAATCATTCCCCACATCCCAGCCACCGCTCCCGCTCCACATGCTCCTGTTGGTGTCCATCGTCACCGCGTGCGGAGTACGGTTTGCTTGTACCCAGCCTACTCCGATCCCACAGCTGAAGTTATGGATGCGACCCCGCGTCGCCAAGCGGATTAGAACACCACCATGCAGCAGCAAATAGCTGGCGCGACCCTTGAGCCTGGGGGACTGCACACAGGGAAGAAAGCGCCACACGATGAAGCACAAAGAAAGCACTTGAGACTGAATGAATTCAGATCCCAAGCTGTTGCATCGAAACCGACCAGCCATTTCAGGGCCAACGTGGTCCGCCGCGTGTCACCTTCCGACCCCTCCAGGGTCTGGACGGGGCGCCCCGCGACCACTGAAAATGCGCACGGTGGCCTGAGATGCCTCCACGATGGCCTCCAACATGAGAAGAAAAAACGGCATGAACATAAACTTTTGGCGCTCCGCGCGGAATTCTTGGATCTGCGCTGGACCCCCCTCACTGGCGCGCTCCGCGCGCCAGGGGCGGCGCCGGAGGCGCCGCCTGGGGGGCCCAGCGCGGATCCAAGAAATCCGCGCGGAGCGCCAAAAGTTCATGTTTACGCCTTTCGTGCTTCTTCGACATACTGCACGAGTAGGAGGCTTGGAAATGGGCACCGACACCAACACCGGGGTCTGCCACAACTGGAGGGAGCTGATCCCAGATCTTGGTGCCGGTGGTGCTCTCGGCCACCGCGGAAGCCCGCACATTGCCACCCTCGCCGAGATCGGAATCCTCTTCCCTCGGTGGAGGCAAGCCGCCGATGTTGTTGGTGCTAACCTCTAGGCCCTTGCCATCGCTCGGACGTCCATTTCGCGTGCATTGTTCGGTTTCGTGTGTGTGTTTTTTTGCTCGATGGTCCAGGATGGTCCTCGATGGTTCTCGCTGAAGGAAAAAAGCACACGTCCGAGCGATGCCAGGGGCCTGAAAACGAGGCCCTCCAGGGTAGCACAGTGCAGCGCCCAGCACGCCCCCGGGGTGCCTCACGACCGCTCCGAGAGGCAGCAGGCGGCTCCCAAGGTGGCCGTGGGGCCGCCCCAGAGGACGCCCCCCTGGCCATCGCTCGGACGTCCATTCCTGTGTTTTTTTCGGTTTCGTGCGTGGCTGTTTCGCCAAATCATCACGGATGCTCCTCGATGGTCCGCGCCGAGGGAAAAGTGCACACGTCCGAGCGACGCCAGGCTCTAGGCCTGAGAACGAGACCCTCCAAGGTGGCACAGTGCAGCGTCCAGCACGCCCCCGGGGTGCCTCGCGACCGCTCCGAGAGGCGGCAGGCAGCTCTCTTAAGGTGGCCGCTGGGCCGCCCCAGAGGACGCCCCCCCCCGAGAAGCCGGCACCCTGCAGGTCCTCCTCCTCCTCCTCCTCCCCCTCCTCCTCCTTCCTCCTCCTCCTCCTCCTCCCCCTCCTCCTCCTCCTCCTCCTCCTCCTCCTCCTCCTCCTCCTCCTCCTCCTCCTCCTTCTCCTCATCCGCCTCTCGGAAGACAGCCAGCGGGCGGTGGGCCGCCTCGCATGCTCGCCGCCAGTGGGTGTTCGAGGCCGCAGGATGACCCCCAGGGCTGCCCAAGGGAGCCCCAAGAGGGGGCCGAAGAGGCCTCCAGGACGGCCCCAGGAGAGTCCAAGCGTGCCCCCCCCAAGATCGCTGCAGGAGGGACTCAAGAAGCAGTGCGTATGGCTGCAGAGGGGCAAGGCTGTTCGGTTAAGGGACCCCCCTCATTCGCTGAAGCCCACGTCATTGAAACACGATTAATGGTTCAAAGAATATGGCATCACGGGGGCATCCTTGGGAGGCGTTTGGGCCAGCATGGCTCCAAGGTGGACCCAACTAGCTCAAGATGGTCTCCAAGTTGGCTGAATATGGTACAGGGTGGCTCAAGATATCATCCAGGATGCCGCCAAGAGGCCCAAAAGCCTCCCCCAAGACGGCTCCAAGTGCGCACGGAGCTTCCTAAAGGCGCCCCCGAGAGGCATACAACCGTCCAAACGCATAAGAACAACACATGCCAGGTGCATTATCGCCTGTACGCGTCCGATGGGCTCCCGCGGCCTCAAGATGGCTCCAACATGACCCAACGGGGGCAAAGAGGGGATCAAGAGGACCCAATCCGAAGCCAGGAGCGCTCCAAGAGCGCCCCAAAATGCCCAACGAGGGGATGTATGGGGCTACAGAGTGGCTAGGCTGACAAGGGATCCCTCTTCTTTAACCGATGGCCCAGACAGCCCGAGAGACCCCTGAGAAGGCCCAAGAGAGTCCCAGAGGTATCCAAACTGACCCCACTATGACCCAAGTATGCTGCCAAAAGGCTCCCAAACCGAAACAAACAAATGATCCAAGAAAACATCGATGGTTAATTCCTGGGTCTGCTCAGACTGACCCCGAGATTCGGTTCGACGGTTCACCCAAAGAATTTGTTCTTGGGACCAAAGAATTTTTGGGGGGACCAACGAATTGCCAACCATCCTGTGGTGTTGGGTGCTCGTTTTGAAGAGACGTCGCCCCGCGTTCCTCTTCTTCTCCTCCTCCTCCTCCTCCTCCTCCTCCTCCTCCTCCTCCTCTCCTCCACCTCCTCCTCCTTCTTCCATGCGTTTCACCCACCCAGCACAACGTTCCGTGGCCCCATAGGGAGCTCCACCGAAGCCCCCAGTGGGACCGCCCGCATGCGTCCCCCACACCCAATTTGGCATTCTCACCAACCCAGTACAGCGCTTCGTGGCCCCATAGGGAGCTCCACCGAAGCCCCCAGTGGGACCGCCCGCATGCGTCCCCCACGCCCACTGTGGCATTTTCGCCAACCAAGTACAGCGCCTCGTGACCCCATAGGGAGCTCCACCGAAGCCCCCAGTGGTACCACCCACATGCGTCCCCCACATCCAACTAGAACCATCGCGTGCGCTTCGCGCGCGCTCAGGTTCTAGCAGGCCCCAGGCCTTGACGAATTCACTGCTCCACTGAAGTAGTGGACCACAGTCCACGCATGCCAATCTGCATTCCGAAAGGCCTTCGAGGAAAATGGTTGTGTAGGGGGGCGGAGGCCGTATGAATCGGGTTCCCAGAAGGCCTTCTGGGAGCATGGGTTTGGGGCGTCTTGGGGAGCCTGTTGGGGCGTGCCGTCGTCGTCGTCGTCGTCGTCGTCGTCGTCGTCGTGTTGCTACGACTCATTCCCGAACCTGACCTTGGGGGTGGCCTAACCTGGCGCAGCCCCGATTGGCAACAGATCCGACACGTTCCGTCCAAACTGAATGCCAGGTTCGCACGCGCCTAGCACGAAGGGACGGCAGCTGCGGTCGCCAATTGTCTCGCGCCGAGTCCGTACGTTTTACTACGGGGACGGGCTGATGTTTGCCTCTTGAAGGCCCTCTTGGGGCCCTCTTCGGCCATCTTGAGGCCATCTCGGGCCCTCTTGGGCCTCGCTGAGGCTGTCCTGGGGCCCTCTAGGGCGTCCTCGGAACCCAGAAGTCATGTTCCCAGAGAGGCTTCCAGGAATATGATTTCGAACGGGGCCCTCTTGGGCCTCCCTGAGGCCGTCTTGGAGGCCTCCTGGGCCGGCTTCGGGGCCTCTTGGGCCGTCTCTCGGGGGGTTCGGTGAGCCCCAGAGGCCGACCCTTTTAGGCCGTCTGGGGCCCTCTTGGGTCTCTCTTGGGCTGTTTTGGGGCTCCTCGGGGGCGTCTGGGGCACTGCGAAGACGAAGCCAGCAAGTATGCTGAAAATGTGCGTTTTACGAAGGAAATGGGCAGTTTTGTGCCTTTTGAAAGCTCTCTCGGGGCCCTCTTCGGCCATTTTCAAGCCGTCTCGGGCCCTCTGGGGCCTCGCTGAAGCTGCCCTGGGGCCCAGTAGGGAGCGCTGGGAGCCCGGAAAATATGTTCCCGGAGAAGCTTCCGGGAACATGATTTCGAACGGGGCCCTCTTTGGCCTCCCTGAGGCAATTTTTTTTCTCGCCAGCGTCCGCTGCCCCCTCCAACATGCGCGCGCAGCACTGCTAGTTGGGCTCGCCTGCGCGGAAGACACTGCCTTCGCCAGGGGATGTCACTGGACAGAGCGGCGGGCCATGCTGCTGGTCCCAACTTGGAAACGCCCAGGGGTCATGCTCTAGAGGCCTGCGCGGAGGCGCGGAAGAGGGGGCGCTGGGAAACACAAAAAAAACATGTTGCGCCTATGGCGTTTGCCTTCGCAAGCACACGTTCAAACAGGATCAAAACTCCTTCTCGCAACGCTCGGTTAGGACTCCTAACAAGCGGCGATGGGGTCTACCCACGAGGATTGAAGGCCTGCCGAACGCAGGGAGCAGAAAGGCGCATCTGCGGACCTACGCAAAAAGAGGCACACAACAAGCACCGCTGTAAGCATCAAGAGTCTGTAGCTTCAAGCGGCAGGTTATACCGAACACAGCCCCTACACGTTGTATTGCAGAGGTCATCGAACGGCGATAAGGAGGCGGATAAGAAACTGCAGGATGCGTGTACTTAGCACGTTGTCTGCAAGGCGACACAAACTACACGACGATGGCTGCGGCTATGGTCGTCTGCCTCTGCCCTCTTGTCGTGGTTCATCTCAAAACCGCCCTGGGCGTATTTTTTAGCGTTTTCCAGTGTGGGCTCTTGACAGGCTGATCGTCGCGAACTCTGGCCCCGGCCACGGGGTCAAGCCCAGCGGAAGACGGCAGCCCGAGACACGGATGGTCACCTGATATGGCCAGGAGGGCCTCTTCTCTGAGTGAGCGGTCTCGAGTGGCAAAGTTCACCGAGCGAGAGACGCTAAAAGGGCCGCGCAAAGGGCCAGCGGTCCTGGGCGGATCCGAGCCGATCATCTTAGCTTCCGGGCCTTCCCGGCATGCGCCAGAAGCCAGCCCAGAGCGTCGGGCCCCACCCCTTGCGAGTCGGAGGCGGTCCACGGCGGCCGCTTCCCAGCGATCATCGCGTCTTGGATGCCGTGCTCCGCTGCGAGGTGGTGTATCTCGAGCTGCTCGTGGTGGCCGTCGGCGGTGGCGGTGCCGCCCAAGCCGAACATGTCCAGCTCCTGGCACAGCGGCAGGAAAGCCACGAAGGCCATCAGGCCGGTGGACGGGACGTGCCCAGCGAGCTCCGAGAAGCCCCAGGAGATGCCGCTCCACCAGCTCCTGCAGGCTGGGATTCCCCCCCTTCTGCACGATGGCGGCATTCCTGCAGTTGTCCAGCTCGCCGCAGCTTGCCGTGGGTGGCACGTCTCCGCTGCCCTGCAGGAGGTCCTCCAGGGTCATCAGCTGCACGTGCTCCAGCAGCGCCTGCTGCTTGTTGAGGAAGAACACATCGGTCTTGCTGCCGAGGCTTCTCTGGATCTGCCCGCGGGGGATGCGGTTGATGCGGATGACGGTGTCGTAGGAGTCAATCTGCTCCCCGTCCGCCCTTTCAAGCAAGGCGCTCGACGAGCCCACCAGGGCACACCTGCACAGCTCGCTAACGTTTCCGAAACTCTTGCCAGGCACGAATTCCAACACCGACGCAAGACCCAACCTGCCCTGTCCGTCGCACGGGCTGTGTGCCACCAGCGTCACTGACGCGCCGACAGGGTAGTTGCTGGCCAGGGGCGAACGCAGAATCATGGAGCCGCGCTGCAGGGAACCGACTTTGCAGTCCTCCTGGGTGCCGACGGCCTCCAGCCTGACAGTGTCTCCGACGCTGAAACCTTCGAGCTCCATCACCTCCAGCACCGAGTCGCCACCTTTGGCAGCCTTAAGCAAGGTCGTCACCAGCGGTGGCAACGCCGAAGAACTTTCTCCGTTGGCATCGGCCTTACCAACTCCGCCGTCGTCGACTGCACCAGGTTGCTCATCGGAATTCTGATCCAGCGGCGGATTCGCTGGAACATCGTCGTCGGCATCAGCCTCGCCACTTCCCTTATGGTCGCCAACGCCTGGTTGCTCGCTTTCGCTGCTAGCATCGGGCTCACCAGTGCCGCCGTCGTCGCCGGCACCAGGTTGCTCATCGGGATTCTGATCCACAGGCGGCGTCGCCGAAGCCTCGTCGTCGGCATCGTCCTCGCCACTGCCGCCGTGGCCGCTAGCACCTGGCTGCTCACTGGAACTGCGAGCCTGACCTGGACTGGTCATCGCGAACAGCCTCCAACAACTGTCGAACGTGCTCTCGCACTCGCCCTTGTACCTGTAGCAGCTTCCGCGCCCGGGCCCAGCACTCGCTGTCCGAGTGCTGGAAGTTGAACAGGACACACCCGTCCTCGGCCGCGCAGCGCTCGCCGCAGGCGTCCATCGAGTCCTCGGTGGAGGAGGACGCCACGAGGTCCTCCCGATCAGAGCACCCCGTGCCGTTGTCGACCCACCTCGGCACAGCCGCGCTCACCGCGGAGCCCAGCACCGACCGCACCACGGCCGCGCACGCGAGGCCCGACGCGGCCACGAGCGCGCCGGCTCCGGCGAGCGCGGCGCCGCCCGCGAGCGGGCACATCCGGCGCCGGCACCCTGCCGCCAGAAGCGACGGCAGCCCGTCGGAGTCGGCGCCGGCCTCGGCTCCGCCCGCCCCCTCGCGCGGCACCGAGCGCCCCCGCTCGAGGCCTCGGCGCGGCACGCCGGCGTCCCCGTGCCCTGCGGACAGCATCGGCTGCTCCGCGTCGGCGGGAGGCGGCCGCATCGTCGTGGGGCCGCTCGTCCTTATGCGCGGGAGGCGGAGGTTGAGCCTTGAGCCGGATCCCTTGAGCCAAAATGGCTACGGAGGGCCTCCCTGAGGCCATCTTGGGGGCCTCCTGGGCCGGCTTCGGGGCCTCTTGGGCCGTCTCGGGGGGTTCGTTGAGCCCCAGAGGCCGACCCTTTTGGGCCGTCTGGGGCCCTCTTAGGTCTCTCTTGGGCTGTCTTGGGGCTCCGCGGGGGCGTCTGGGGCGCTGTGAAGACGAAGCCAGCGGGTATGCTGGAAACGTACGTTTTACGAAGGAAATGAGCAGATTTGTGCCTCTTGAAGGCTCTCTCGGGGCCCTCTTCGGCCATCTTCAAGCCATCTCGGGCCCTCTGGGGCCTCGCGGAGGCTGTCTTGAGAGCCTCATGGAAGCCACTTACTTGGGGCCTTTTGTGGCCTCTTCGGAGGCTTCTGGAGACTGAGGGCTGGAATTTTCGGCGAGGGGGCCACGATCCTCGTGAGGGGTGCCAGAAAATGGCCCGGGGGGGCCCCCCATGGCGACCAGAGGCACCAGCCGGGCCCCCCCCCCCGGCCTACTCCGATATATCTATATATATATATATATACATATATATATATATATGTATATATATATATGTGTGTATATATATATACATTTGTATGTATGTATGTATGTATGTATGTATGTATGTATGTATGTATGTATGTATGTATGTATGTATGTATGTTTGTATGTATGTATGTGTGTATGTATGTATGTATGTATGTATATATATGTGTATATATATATATATATGTACACACATCTACGTGTGCTATGAAACCAGCCGGCCCTTCGGCGTGTGTGAGACACCGTCGTCGTCTTCGTGGTCGTTGTCGATCCCAAAGAAGCACCGGGGCGGTTCCAGGGCAGCTTGCCGCCCCCCAGGGGTCCTGGCGGGTCCTGGGGGTGCTCCCCCTGTGGAGCAGGGGGACAGGTGGGTGACCCCCCCTGGGGGGGGTGTCCTGGTGGGGGCCCACAGCACCCACGAGACTCATATCCGAGGCTGCTGCAGCAAGGTGGCAGCAGGACGCGGAGAGGGCACGGCGGCCTTCTCCTGCTCCTCCTCCTCCTCCTCCTCCTCCTCCTCCTCCTCCTCCTCCTCCTCCTCTTCCTCCTCATCCTCGTCCTTTCCCGAGCCATACAATAACAACTTGCGTGGAACCCCTCTCGGGCCCATCTTGGGGCTCTCTTGGGCCGCCTTTGGAGCCTCTTGGGGCGTCCTGGGTCTCTGGTGGGGGCTTCTTGGAGCTCTCTTGGCGCCTCCTGGAGCCTCTTGGGGCCGAAAGCTCGGAATTCTACAGTGGCTTTCTCCCTCTGGGACCCCTCTCGGGCACGCCTTGGGGCTCTCTTAGGCCATTTTGGAGTCCAATTTTGCCGTCCTGGGCGCCCCGTGAACCATCTTGGAACTCCCTTGGGGGCCACCTAGGCCGTCTTGGGAGCCTCTTCGGACGTGTTGGACGCGGTGAAAACCCAACAGGCGACCATGCGAGCTGATTCTCAAACCCCCCCTTTGCTATCCCCCCTTTGCGCCCGGCCCGAGGCAAGCGACAGACACCACGTGCTCGCGGCAATTCCTGATGTTGGATCCGCATGTTGCGTGGAAGACAGACTGGATGCACCGCAGTTTGGGGATCCCTCGTCTTCGGCTGGGCCCGCACCGTCCGACCCGCCGTCTGTATGTTCACAAGAGGGCATTCCTATTCGACTTTCTAGCGATAGGAACTCTACGGATCATCAGATTACCCGGGGGGCGCGCATCAAGAAACCATTGGGCGTTTCGTAATGGGGGGGGTTATAAGTGGGGGTGTGGCGAGGGTGGCCCGAAAAGGTACCCTAACGGTTCTTAAACGAGCCCCCTGAGGCTCCAGAGGGGCCCGAAAGGGGCACGAAAGGGGACTGTTTCTGACCCCCTCATTTATGACCCCCCCATTGAACCACGCCCAAAACCATATATTTTTTGTCAGGATATCCTGGGTTTCCTTGCTCCTCGCGCTGCGCGGCTACTTCCCGTGGCCGTGGAAGGAGCTGCTGCGTCCAGGGTGCTCCGGGTTTCCCCTCCGGTGCACCTCGCGCGCGGGTTCGCAGGGTTGGGGTTGCTTGCGACGGTTTCTTGCAGCCGCGCCGGCACTGTACTCCAGATTTCGTAATAAAGGGAGGGGGTCTCATTTCGGGGGGGGGGTCTCTTCCAGGCTATCTTGGAGGGACTGGGGGGTCTGGGGACGATGTTTTGGAGGGTGCTCCCACGGGGGAGTTCTGAAATGGCTTGTCTTGGAGGGTCCAGACCCCCTCCCTTTTATTACAAAATCTGGAGTACTCATCACGCATGTTCGTCGTCTTCGTTCTTCTTCATCTCCCCTTTTCTTGCTCTTTCTCCCGAGGTCATTCTGTAACGCCCTGGCGAAAGGATTCCTTTTGTGGCGGCGACCTTACAAAAAGGATTTTCAGTGTTTGGGGATCTGCAGTGGCCTCCACAAGTAGATGCTCTTTGTAGAAGCCTGTACAAAGGGATTCCTTTCGTGGCGGCCTTACACAAGAAGGAATTACTTGTGGGGAATCAGCAGTTGCCGCACCTTGAGCCCAGGAAAGCTAGATAGGAAAACCGGAAAACAGGAATTACGCTACCGAGGAACCTCACATATTGATGTGTAATCTTATGTGTTTGCTTGTCACTATCATCTATGCGCCATCCTGCGTTCTAAACAGTCGTCGCGAATCGTCGTCCTACTTGTCGTACTCGTCGTCGTACTCGTGGTACTCGTCGTCGTACTTGTTGCCGTTCTATCGTCTTACTCGTCATCGTACTCGTCGTCGTACCTCGCCACCGTACTCGTCTTCGCATTCGTCGTCGTGTTCGTCGCACTCGTCGCACTCGTCGTCGTCGTACTCGTTGCACTCGTAGTGCTCGTCGTACTCGTCGCCGCACTCGTGGTCATCGTCGTCGTCGTCGTCCTCCTCCTCCTCCTCCTCGGAGGTTCGTTGGTTGGGAACATCCATCTCGTAGCTCGGGTGGTGGCCGTTGGAGTACCTGTTGAGAGCCTGCCACAAGTTTGCATCGGTACCCCTTTTGGACGGTTGGTACTGTGGATCCACCGCCCGTTTCTCTGCAAACGAATTGTACCATCCGACAGCTTTCTTATCCGCCAGGGCGCACAAACAGGTCACCGCGACCGACTGTCGCAGGCTCCGTGACCATGCAATGGTCCTTGCCACCAACGCTCGTCCGCCTCCGCGGGCCCGGGAGAAAGCTGAGTGCGAGGGGCGCCAGTGGATCGAACAGAGGTAGCCAGCAGCAAGGCTGGGGACCGCTGCGGAGTGCACGTCTGCATGGGCGGAGCCTTCGTTGGCGTGTCCTTCGTCGGTGTAGCCTTCCTAGGCGTGGCAAGCGCTGCGGCGGGGGCCTCTGTGTCAGCCGCCGCGCTGCCAGCCTCGCGCACTCGCCGAGCTTTCGCCGGCGGGCCGCCGCCGTCGTTTAAAAGAGCCTCCTGGGGGAATCCGCCCGACGCAGGGTTCTGCAGGTACGCCACCAAGCACTGCCTTTTGCCGTCGTCGCTCATCTCGGAGTACCTCGCGTAGAGCGTATCGGGCCACCAGTTCTGAAGCTGGCGGCGGTACGCACTGAATGCGGAGAGCACCACTCCGCTTGCGCATCGGCGCGAGCTGTCCACACTGGCCTCGCCGCCCGTCAGAACCATGGCGTTTTTCATCGCCAGACACGGAGGCGGCAGAGCGCCCATGGTAAGTTTAGGCGGCATGACTGCCGCGCGCAGGAAGGGCGGTGCTCTGAAATAGGACTACATGAGCGCGACTGCGTGAGAGCGCAGGCGCGCCGAGCCGGCTGGAGCCAAGGTGTTTACAGTTCTAGACAAGATACGAGCTCCCACCCCTGGCGCACCCCCTCTGGTGTCGAGGAAATGCCACGCGTGCCACGCTTTGCGAGCCCGGAACGCATAGGGCCCCCACCCCCAGCGCACCCCCTCTGGCGTCGAGGAAATGCCACGCCTGCCACGCTTTGCGAGCCCGAAACCAGCGCACCCCTTCTGGTGTCGAGGAAGTGCCACGCCTGCCACGCTTTGCGACGAAGCGCATAGGGCCCCCACCCCCAGCGCACCCCCTTTTGGTGTCGAGGAAGTGCCACGCCTGCCACGCTTTGCGAGCCCGAAACGCATAGGGCCCCCACCCCCAGTGCACCCCCTCTGGTGTCGAGGAAATGCCACGCCTGCCACGCTTTGCGAGCCCGAAGCGCATAGGGCCCCCACCCCCGGCGCACCCCCTCTGGTGTCGAGGAAATGCCACGCCTGCCACGCTTTTCGAGCCCGAAGCGCACAGGGCCCCCACCCCCAGCGCACCCCTTCTGGCGTCGAGGAAATGCCACGCCTGCCACGCTTTGCGAGCCCGAAACGCATAGGGCCCCCACCCCCAGCGCACCCCCTCTGGCGTCGAGGAACTGCCACGCCTGCCACGCTTTGCGAGCCCGAAACGCATAGGGCCCCCACCCCCAGCGCACCCCCTTCCGGTGTCGAGGAAGTGCCACGCCTGCTTTGCCTGGACGACCTTGCGTAGCGGCCATATCGGGACGTGTCTCATGTGGGTGCCCATTATGTGGCGCACACGTCGTGGATGTGTGATGCAGTGAACACGCCAGGCGTGCATGCGTGCGGCTGTATGTAGACGCGTGTGTCATGTACTTGCCGTGCATGTGTTGAGCACGGGTGAGGAGAGCATGCGTTGAGCGCGGGTGAGGAGACGAAGAAGAGGGAGGAGGGGAGGTGAGGAGACGCGGGTGCGCCGCGGCAGGGAAGAAAATCAGAGCCCAACGAAAGATGTGGGGAAAAACTAAAAACACATTGTGTTCACAATGCAAAACAAGACACAGTCGGGGCAACCGGTGACAATCGTTGTTTTTATCGTACAAATGATCTACACTTACATTAATTTGATAACTGTTTTTGCAAAAAGGGTTCCTTTGGTGGCAACCTCACAAATAAGATATTCAGTGGGGGGGATCTGCAGTGGCCTCCACAGATCGAGTC